GTGGTGGCGATCTTCGGAAAAGAGCCCTCCTATGAGCATGTCACGGCACACCAAGGAGAGCGACTGAATGAGCTTGTCGATGTCGCTGCGAAGCATGTTGCCCGTCATGGACAGGGCCTTCCCAAACCTCCCGCCAAGGTATGTCACCTCCTCCTCGCCACTGACCTGACGTGGCTGGCGGCATCAATCGACCCGCTGTGGCAAAAAGTACTGCCGGTCAATACAACCTGTATCCAGTGGCAGCCACAGGAAGACTTCGGCCCCTCTCCCCTCACCCCGGAGCAGCTCATACTGACAAAGACCCCTCCCCCTTGCAAAGGGACTTCTGCCGTCGTTGAGGCCATCTTCGAAGACCAATTAGACTCGCCCAGCATCAACATTGCCTTCCTGCAGGAGACCAAGGCCTCAGAAGGACTTTGTCAGTCAGCCAGGTTCCTCCGACTCTCCTCAGCGTCGGAGAGACACTGGGGTGTGGCTGTGTGGTTTAGCCGCACCCGAGGGGCCCTGACGGTAATGGTCGACCCTGGATCCCCACGGCAGCCGACATCAAAACCATTGTCAGCCAACCCCGTCTGCTGGTGCTCCTGGTACACAAAGATGCATACAAGGTCCTCGTCATCTCGGGCCATTGCCCTCACGATGCTCGGTTTGATGAGGCGCAGGGCTTCATGCTTGAGCTAGCCAGTGCTGTTGAGCCGTACAAGCGGGCTCACCTCATTCTTGCTGGCTTTGACCTAAACGGTCGACCCCCCACCAGGGTAACGGGGACTACTGGTACGGTGGAGTACGGCGAGCCGGATAGGATTGGGCACTTGGCGGCCCAGGCCTTTGAGGGCCTCGGCATGTGGTTGCCGTCGACCTTCCCACAGCTGCACTCTGGGCAGCATGCCACATACTGCGCCCCGCTGGGAACGCTCCATCGTATTGACTTTGTGTCAGTAGGGGGCGCGGCGGTGTACAAAGACGTTGCCAGTGAGGTCAGCACAACCTTCGATACAGGGTGTGAGCGTGACGACCATTGGCCCTGGACATTTGCTGTGACATGGGAGCCACAAAGCCAAGGGCACAGCTACACCGTCCCAAGTTCGACCTCGACAAGCTCATGTCTGACGAGGGCAGGCGAACCATGGCAGAGGAGCTCAAAAAGTTCCAGCACCCTTCCTGGGAATGCCACCCGGACCTTCACTGTCAGCAGATCCAGGACCACGTCACGGACATCATGACGAGGTGCTTCCCTCTGCCCGAGCGCCGACCCCGGGCCAGCTTCATCCCCCAGGACACATGGAAGCTACGGGACCGCAAGTTGAGTCTCAAACGATGTGCCAGACATCGGCGATGCCTGTGGACGGACCTACTACATCGAGCTTTCCTACAGTGGAGCCAGACCGCGGACTATGCGGTGGAAGCCTTGGTTGCGAAGGAGGGCCTCCTCTACCAGCTCTCCGCGATGGCAATCAGCTTCGCCACACACAGGATCAAAACCCAGATCCAGGAGGGAAAAAGCCAATTCCTCCTTGACCTTGCGGGCGATCCGGGACGCCCAGCGGGGACTATTTTGCGACAGGCCAAAGCTGCCGGAGCTGGAGGATCTAAAGCCCGTCCTGTGGCCAGGCCCTTGCCACAGCTCCGCTTCAAGGACGGGATGATTGCTGGCACTCGTCAGGACCGTGGTGACCTGTGGACCGAGCACTTCGGTGCTCAAGAACTGGGCAGCCTCATCGACACGGCCGCGTACCTCGCCCAGCCTCAACTCCCGCCACATCAAGATGTGCTCCTTGAATGGCAGCAAGATCATGTCCCCAGCATTGTCGAATTGGAGACGGCTTTCCGGGCTGCTCCCCGAAGGAAGTCGCCGGGACTCGACAACATATGTGGGGAAATGCTCCTCGCCGCCCCGGCTGAGCCGGCGAAGATGTGGTGGCCCCTCTTCATCAAAGCCACTACACGGATATGCCAACCGGTGCAGTGGCGAGGAGACATTTTGCACGAGGCCTACAAGAGGAGCGGATGCAGTTGGGACCCACAGTTCTTTCGGTCCCTCTTCGTGTCTTCCACAGTGGGAAAGTGCTTTCACAAGGTGTTTCACACTAAATCCCAGCAGGCCCTCGACGAAGCCTTCCACAGTTTCCACTTGGGAGCTCGCAAAAACTGCCCGGTCACGCTCCCGGCTTTGTACATTGTCGGACATGCGCGCCGAGGACGAGAACTCCGACGTTCGATCGCCACCCTCTACTTGGACACTGAGGCGGCCTACTACAGAGTCATCAGGCAGCTCGCCTTCGGCAACCTCACCTGCGACGACGAGGTCATCAGGGTGTTCCAACATTTCGGCTTGGAGCCAGAGGAGATGGCTGACATGATGCAGCAGATCACCACGGGAGGCATGGCTGCTGACACCAAGCTACCTCCGACTACCCGCCACAACATCAAGGACTTTCACAACAGGGCCTGGTTCGTCACAGCTTGTGCGAACGGACTGCGATGCCTTGTCAAGTTCTAAGGTGTCAGTCACTATAAGAGCTGTGAGCAAGACCGTGTAAAGCGCAAGGGAAGGGGGCACGCTACGCGTCCCTCGTCTCTAGGAGTAGGCTTGTGGAAGTGCTACGCACACCGCAATGCCTATCCAACCTTTCAGTGTGACCGCCCATGCAACATTGGCTCAAGAATGAGCACAAGCTCAAGAAAGCATTGCCCATAGCTAAAGTGCTATAGTCTACTGCGACTACCCGAGAGGATAGAGCCATCCCGTGCACAGACGATCCATCGCCGGCCGCGAGGGTGCAAAACAAACGAGCTCTGGATCTGCCTGCATAGGAGTGTGCGTGTGGAAGTGGAAGTAACAGTGATCCAGTCTTTAGAGGGCAACCACGCCATCATTCAATATAGCTCTTTGTGGGGTGAGCGACAGAGAACATCATCAAGACCAAATCCCCACGCAGGTTATCAGCCGTACGCGGCTCTGCCTTTCTGCAGCAAAGACTACTTGATCTACTACGACCACAATGAACTCGGGGTCAAGTCAGGATACGACAATGACTTTCGGTGCCGACGTGGCAGCGCCAGCCGTTGGTGAGTCAACAGCTGATGACACAGTGGTGCAATCCGTTGATAGCTCCACGGAAGATGACAAAGGTCAGTCTTCTGCGCTTGCCATTGCAAAGGCAGTTCCCAAAACAAAAGCAAAGAGTCTACCAAGAGCATCTACGCCTTCGCGTCCAACATCCTCAGGATCGAGGACGAGCAAGGCTCCAGAACGACGATCCGAAGCGTCTGGTTTACAGGCACCTCGGACCCCGTCGAGGGTAAAGGACAAGGGAGTGAAGACTTTGGAAAAGAAATCGCGACCATCATCTTCGAGAAGCTCTTCAGCACGATCAAGGACCTCGGTTACTCGTGGACGTCCATGACATGGAATCGGATGGTCACCAACCAACCACGCGAAGCTGACGATCTGGATATGACTCTGGATACGATTCCGGCACGAGGTGACGCCTCGTCGGTGGCCACACCAGCCATAGCCGATGGCCCGAATACCTACCAGGGATTGACGATTCCGCAACAGTTTGAAGCGTCGAATCTTGCACAGCAGATGTACTATCGCAGTCAAGTGCAGGAGTACGAAGGTGTTGTTCAGACCCTGATGGAGAAGATCAAGGAGATGCAACAAGAAGATGAAGGATCTGGGATTTGCATTGAAGAATTGGAACGACAACGTGATCATGCATGCTTAGCCATGAGGCACATCAACAATGTCAATCAGGAGATGAAGCGAGACTATGAAACAGCCTTGTTTCGCATGGATGAGCAGAACTCTGCTCAACAGCGTCAAACACATGCCGTTGCCGAGGAGCTAGCTCAACAGCTACATGTGTTTCGCACAGAAGCAGCCACCAACTTTGTGCAGTTAGAGGCAAGAGCACAGGGCGACGGTGAGCTTATGGCACGTGAGTATGAGCATCTGACTCAGGAACTTCACGAACAAGCCAGAGAGAACTTATTCCTCCGGTCGAACACAGCAAGTTCGGAACAAGCCTTGCAAGCAATGCAGGAACGATTCCACTTGGTCAGGAATCAGGAATTGCGAGCCATGAACGAGATTCAAGGGCTAGCTGGAAACAGCGCAGCCATTGATCAAGAACGACTTCGGCTTCGCGAACGTCTTGGCGAGGAGGAAGAGTACCGCAAAATGGCTGTGAAGAGGATGCAAGATGCAGAGGACCGACTCCATCAGAATGAGGATCATGCAAGGCATGCATTGCCTACCTTGCACGACGAGCTGAGTGAACTCAGGAAAGCGCTCAAAGCACAAGAAGATCTTCAAGCGAGGACACGCAGCGAGTTGGAGGCAGCACGGAACTCCAATTACCATGGCGGAGTGACGCGGCCTTCGAGCATGCCCATGTCTTCGAGGACTACTGAGTCTGGCTGGGAGCACGTAGGAAAGGACGTAGTGCCTGCATTTTCCGTAGGAGGTGAGGTACGATCCCCTGCAATACGGTCCCCAAGTCAAGTTAGTCCAGTCGCCAGAGGGAAGTTCGCATTCTCGGAATCGAACAAGGACAAGAACCTTGCAATGGATGGCATTCCACCTACCGGTGGAAACTTCTTCACTGGCAACATCAAAGGTGAGATCAATACGTCCTACACAACACCAATTGTGGCGGATGCAATGCCTGAGCACAACGTGCCAGGCAATAGCAGTCCAGCACATGCGCGTTCCACGCCTTGTGCAGCCACTATGTTCGGCATACCAAGTGGACTTCATGGACGAAGTGATGCGGCAGCTGTACGTGACCGACAGCTACGTGAACTCTTGGAGGATCGCGGGATGTTGGGATCAAAGTCCACAGCATCTGCCAGCTCTTCAAGGCCTGTTGATATCGACGGCATTATCGCATCTATGAAAGGCAACAACTCCAATGTTGTCCAAAGGCCTACGCCTGTTGCCTATGATGACTCCATTCACGAGGCAAGGAGACGTCAGATCGAGAAAGAGATCGCGGACCAGTACGAAGAGAAGATTGCTGATCTGCGAAGCGAAGTACTCAAGGCTCAGAAAGCCGAGCAACGTCTCAGAGCTGATCGTGACGAGTGGAGATTATTCGCTGAAACGATGCAGGAAGACAATGGAGACGATGACGGTGATGAAGCTGGCGAAGAGAACGAAGATGGAGAACAAGATGAAGGTGCTGGCACAGGGTACGACCCTCCAGATCCGCCTGCTGATGACGGAGATGATGAGAAGAAGAATGGTGGAGGCAAACCTGAGCCAGATCATGCGCGTGATCCTGACGGAGACGCAGATCCTGAGGTTACGGAGGTGAGAATATCCAGAAGAGAGGCCGACAAAGTGACGGTTCCTCCATGGCCTGTTCTCACTCACCTGAACAATTGGCGGTCTGTATGCACGGCGAATGTTCTAGGAGCGTCAGCCGACCCAAATCATGAGGACTGGATGTTGTGGCTGGCACCAGCTTTCAATCCATTCCCTGATGTCGAAGCAATGAACGATTCAGGACACAAGAAGTTCAAGAGCATAAATGTCAAGTTGGGAGTCGCCATGGTAGCGATGTTACGCGCTGGTGGTGATAAATCCGCTGATCTGTACCTGGAGGTGAACCGGAAGGCCAATGATTAGATCAGTAGGCCCGAAGGGAAGATCATTAAAGGACGACAAATCATTGCGATGATGTACGAGAGCTTTCGAACGCACGACCGCCTCGACATGATCATCACTCTCAAGTACTTGGTGAAGCTCCAGTACCAAGGTGACAACAAGCTTCATACGTTCAAGCAGACATGGTTGGAAGTTCTCGGACGGATGAGACCAGAGGACATACCATCCAAGACAGCTCTCCGTGATTGCTTGCACAGCAAGATCAAGGACTCGCCCGCAATGAAGATGGATTTGGGCATGCATTATGACCACTTGCCCTATAACCACGAAGATCGATCGTACGACAATCTGATGAAGATTATCGATCGCACCATCATGCGGAGACGAGAACAAGCAAACCTCACTCAGACTCAAATTGGCTTGCGCCAGATGCTCGAGGGCAAGGACTTGCTTGCTGCACCGGCCAAGGTACCTGAGAAGCCAACGCCAAATGCAGCTCCATCCGCAAAGGTCAAAGCATCTCCTACCAAGCCGGATAAAGCAACACCTGTGCTACCTCAGAGCAAGGCGAAGAGTCATGCGAAGACCAAGCCAAAGCCCAAGAAGAAGACGAGAAGTGAGTCAGCGGACAACAGAGGCGACAAGAGCAAGAAACAAATCCGCTGTAAGTTCCATTTCACAGATGCAGGGTGTCGAAATGGTGACAAGTGCCCATTCAGTCACTCGAAGAAGACTCCAGAGCGACCCTTCACGCCGAGGACGAGAACTCCAAGTCCATCTGGAGGAGGAAATCGGATATGCTATTCTTTCAAGAACACGGGTTCGTGCTCAAGGGAGAATTGTCCTTTTAAGCATGAGGCCGCAGCTACCCCAGCACCGGAGCCAAAGGCGAAGGCCAAAGCCAAATCCGAAGCGAAGGCAGCTCCAACGAAACCGAATGCTAAGGCTAAGGCAATCCCTGCGGCACCCGCCATCAGATTGTGCCGAAGGTGGAATCCATCAGCCCCGGCTGTATGGAAGCGATCTTCAAGACAGGATGAGGAAGAGTCAGATTGTTCATCCGTTGACAGCGACGCTGACTCGGATTGTTCAACCGACGACGAATCATCGGGACCGACTACGTCGATCCGAAAAGAAGTCAAACGCAGCGTGACATTCGCTGACGACGTGAAGTTCTTCTCTTCGCGCCCTAGAAAGTCAAAGAAGGACAAGGAGCGGAAGGTGAAGCACGTCGACGTGGAGGCGATTGTCAACGACGAGGATCGCGCCGTGAATTTGGAATTTGCCAAGCACAAAGCGAGATTGAGGGCGCAGATCATGAGAGACATGGTTGACGACGATGATGATCAATGCGGAGATCGAGTTTCATTCGTACGGATCCCAGGAACGTCTCGAGTGGAAGAGGTTTCTTTCTACGACGGTGAGGATTCCATCGTTGAGCGTGAACTCGATGCTGCACACAGCAAGCGGATCATCAATCAGGGTGTGTTCAAATGCATGGTTCAACCAGTCATTCTCAAGAAAAAGATCAAGTTTCTCATGGACACTGGATGTGGTCATGACCTCATATCTCAGAAGAAAATCGAGAAGCATAGTCTCGAGACACTTGTGACTCCAGAGCCCATATCATTCCAGACTGCAAATGGAATCACCGATACCGATCTTGTGTCAAACTTCCAGACTGAGTCGTTCGAGGAACCGATCAACGCTTATGTGTTGGATGACACACCATCGGTGCTTTCCATAGGTAAACGATGCATGAACTTCGATTACGGGTTTGTGTAACCACCAAGAAGGGAGCCATTCATGATCAACCCGCAGGGCAAGAGAATATCTTTGTTCGTGAACGGTGACATTCCGTACATTCGCGCCGGAAGTTCCAA